TTTTAAGTTATAAGCTCGTTTATGCTATTACGACAAAGTCGCTTCGTTTTTAGAAATAAACCGCGCGAATATATCTATCTATGGTTACATCTATTTCCCTAACCAGTCGCAAATTTTAACCCTTTTTACAAGGCTGTCGTCTGTCTTGACGATATCTAATGAGATTTTGTCGATGGCTTTTTTATAGAACCTTTCATAAGTCGCTTGCCATATACCATCAGTTTTCACCCTTTGTCGATGTTGTTGAAGCATCGATATCGTTTTAGTAGTTTTTACTCAGGGGAAACTACCTTCAAAAGACGAATGTTTTCTTTTTATATTAACAGTGCATTCCCTTTGCTTATAAGAGACTATGTAGTTACATGATAAAGATATTTTTGTTCCGTAGTAAAAAAAAAACTCCACCAAAGGTAAAAAAAAAAAATCAACAAAAAAGAAACAACAAAAAAACATCAACATTTACTGTTTGATTTCCAGAATACTCGAACGTTTCTTAAAACGTCAAGTGGAAGCTTATAAAAGTACCAATGACTCTGACCGTGTCATACTTTCTCTGTTTATGTCGGGTCAATACAAGTAGAGACGACTCCGAGATAGTATTATGTTAGCGTTGTGTTAGTATTATGTTAGATTATGTAACCGTTATGTTTATGTTATGTTAGTGTTATGTTGGGGGGGGGCGTGGGAGGGGGGAGCTGTAGACTTTTTTCGGGGGGGGGGGGCCCGAAGAGATGCCTGGAAGAAACTCTGGTTGAGGCATTATTATGTCACGCATTGTTACGGAATACAGTATTTTTCGCTGTAGGTTTTTCACATCTTAAATTCAAGTACCCTATATCTCTCAACGACTCTTGTCAAACATAGTATTGGTGGTATTGAATTCAATACGTAAGAAAATCAACATAAAAATAATTAAATACTTAAATGAGCAAATAATGGGATTACCTCATAGACATCAAAATCTTTTTCCCAATGACCACGGTATGCTTAAGAATTTTTATTCGAAACTAGCGTAGCCGCCGAGCGTTACTGAGATCTAGTCCTACATACAAGAGTGGCGATATATTTTATAAGGATTTCGTTAACGCGATTCAAATAGGGCCTGTAAATCTACGGTCTCGAAATCTACTAGCTGCGTAGTACGAGAACGAGAAGTTGTGACCTACTTACAAGCCCTATTGTGTGCTTTCAGACATGAGAACTTCTTTTCTAAAAACGATAATTAAGATGATAACGACGCCGATGTCACCTGCGTCGCGGGAGTGACCGGTTACACTACCGTAGGTAGCCGGGTGCAGCCGGTTCGGTTTTACAATCGGGCGTAGAGGTCCGACGTGTTCATAGTGAGGGTGCTCTTTAAAACGAATGTAGTGCTTTAGTGCTTGATGTCATCTGCCGCAAGGGAGGTTGCCCCTGTTGTTACGTTTGACCGTTAAATCAAGTAGTAACCGCAGGACGCTCAATCACATGCACTCAGATAACCGATGAGAAACTCGGGGCGCCCCTTATTCGATTTTTGTCAACGATTATTTTTGTATCGTTCCGTATCCCCAGTATGGCACGCATTAAAACAAATATATGCGCCGTAGTACTCAACAGTGACCTCGAGGGGAGCCGGCTGAGACCATTCAATGTGGTCCACATGATATTAGCTACACAATATTAATTGAAATATTGTCTGCACGATATGCTAAGCACTACATGGTCTTCACGATTTAGTCTATATATATATATATATATATATATATATATATATATATATATATATATATATATATATATATATATATATATATATATATACATATATATATATATATATATATATATATATATATATATATATATATATATATATATATATATATATATATATATATATATATATATATCGAGTTTAGTCCACATATCCCCAGTCGTCAACACACACAATCATACACACATATATGCACTCTTCCTTACACACACTCGCACACTCACGGACTTATACATACACATATGCGCACACACTTAAAACGCATACACATATTTATATACACACACACTCATACACATGTTAATACTCATACTCTTAAACACAAACCGACAAGGACACACATACAAAAACAGTGAAACAAAAACATTCTCTCACACACATACTCGCACACACATTCAAAACGTATTCACGCACTCTCATACACACACTAACTTTACACACTTATACACACTTTGACACTCATACAGCTACACACTATCACACACACACACACACGCACAGACACACGCACTTACACACGTATACACACACATTCACACGCACCGTTAATCATTAATTTTTAAACTCATACACCTACACACTCATACACATAACATAGACACACATTCAAAAACACACTTACGCATACAATTATATACTGAAACACCGTTTCAAAAATACACACTCGCACACACACACACACATAGTCACACACTCTTACACACACTTCTACACAAACAGTGATATACACGCATCTATACACATATTCACATACACACATATTTACACATATTCATACACACACAGACAGACACATACACTCGCTGACACACACACACACTCACACACACACACACACACTACATTTATATATATATATATATATATATATATATATATATATATATATATATATATATATATTGTGTATATGTATTTATGTCAGATATTAAGGTATTCGACCTAAAATTGATGAGGTTGACTGTATATTGCGAGTATTAATAAAGACCGCCTCCGTTTCCATACAACTGTTGCCACTTCAAAGAACATCTGTAGCGTTGGAAGTCGTTATGTTTTGAAACATAGTAGCAATTCCTTTATTAGAGATTATTCAACGTGAGCGACCAGCATTGTGTTGACCCGTATTTCGATACGCAGTATCTACGTTTTCGAATTAGTATAATTATCATATTAGTAAGCGACGTAGGCAAGGATTAAGAGTAGATAGACACTATTAAAATTAAGCTGTGAGATATTTTGTCTTAGATATTTTGTCTGAGATCATTTGTCCATGGTATTATTTGTCCTGATATATTTTGTCCTGGCATCTTTTGTCCGTGAGATTATTTGTCCTTGGGATCATTTGTCCTGAGATAATTTGTCCTGAGATCAATTGTCCGTGAGATATTTTGTCTGAGATATTTTGTCTGAGATCATTTGTCCTGCGATCATTTCTCCTGTCACCCATTTAATTACTAAATAGGAAGTGTTTATGGTTGTGACAAGAATACTCTAGAGAAAATACAAGTATTTAAAAAACAATTACGTCTCATGTCACATGTTTAAAGTACGGAAAGTACACAGCTCTAATGGCGTCATTGTTTTTAAGATAAAAATAGAATTAAACAGACAGATCGTAAGGCCGACAGACCATAAGGCCGACAAACCATAAGGCCGACAAGCATAAAAAATACTAATACCTCAAAATATATGTTACTGCATTGCTGCTATCTTGACAACTATCGAAATAAGGTGAAACGTTCTGGAGAGGAGACGATGCTAGTTGCTATCCTTATATGGTGAACCATCGGTTCCAAGTGACTGAAGATTACGGGAGTGTCTTAAACACAAAGCATCAACACCTAAATATTAAGAAATGCTGTCAATACTGTCTTTTATTGCTCCTTCTATGTCAACGAGGTGAGACAATCATCAAAGAACCAAGTCAAATGCCGTCGCATCATCGCCAACATGCAACAAGGTGGAACGCCAAGAGACAATGCTAGTTGCGATCTTAATAAGGTGAACAATGGGGTCCATGCGACTAGGGATGACGGGAGTGTACAAAGGATAACAAGAAAGGTGGCGTTACCACCATATTTAGCAAAGAAATCAAAGAAACCGAATGAAGTAGAACGATCACTTGCCTTGACTGGACTACAGGTTAAATAATCAACAAACTTTGAATTATATTTTAGTTTCGTCCATTGCGAATTGCGTGAAAAAAAAAGTGTATACTATATTCGTTGGATTCATTAATTCTGTTGTGATTGTGATACCTGTGCGCCAAAATTGATTAGTTTTTTTTGTTTTTGTTATAGAGAAACATTGCAATTAATATTAATCAACAAAATACAATTATGCCTACATGTTGTATAAACACAAAATATGTTATATTCAACTCCCGTACAACGCAATAAACGTTAAAATATGCCGTTTAAATCGTTGAAGGTGTGTCGGGAGTAGGTGGGGCAAGTTGACATATGACATAAGAAAAAATGTAACAAAGTTACTACAGTGCAGTCTAGTCACCAAACTTTTATTAAACTAAAATCAATTTGTTGTGATGCCTTTTACTACATTAGCAACAGCTTATAACATTACTAGTTAAATATCTCTGGGCTATTAGTACGAACAGTTACATCATGGGGCGGGGATACGAACTGCACCTGGAGGCACCATGTTTAAAACATTCAACATTTTTAGTGCAGATTATCTTTGTGCACTTGGAATTGTACATATTTTCTTTCTTAATGTTTATATTGTTAAAATTAGTAGGGCACATGTGTAAACTTGCCCCTGTGACTTCCCTGTATATGGACCTGTAATTGTAGTTTGTTGTTTAATAAAACTTGTCGGCCTTTTGTCTTGTCGGCCTTTTGGATGTCGGCCTTTTAGGAGTCGGCCTTTTGTCTTGTCGACCTTTTGGATGTCGGCCTTTTGTCTGTCGGCCTTTTGTCTTGTCGGCCTTTTGTCTTGTCGGCCTTTTGTCCATGTCGGCCTTTTGTCCGGATTCCTTTTTGACGTTTGGTTTAATTATTTTTGAAATATGAGGTTCACGCTACCGCCACCTCCGCACAGCGCAGCGCGTGCGCTCTGCTAGTCACATACTAAAGAGAAAGCTGTTACATATATTTAGCATAACATCAAAAAGATATTTTGAGAATCTTATCAAGCCATCTATGTAAATTCTGTATCAGACCCTTTATGGATACCATCATTTTACGTTAGTGAGTTTTGACATAAACACTATATATGATCATCATTTTTAGTTGTTTTCAACTTGGTATTCTGAACCTACACGCTACAGGTTCCCCTTCCAACAACAAGATATCTGACAAGGATGACGTCCCTTTGGTGTCTAACAATTTTGCTATTGATGACGTGTAGTACCAGTTCAGCAGACGACAAAAATTTGGCAACTACAGGTAATTGTGAAAATTATTCTCGAATTATTCATTATTGTTTGGTATTATTAGTTTTAATGTAACATTTGAGCGTTTGCAATGTAATAACCATCGATAGTTTTATTTTTCAGTTATAAGGAAAATTATGCTCCAATCGCGAACATTCACACATATAGTCTTTCGTTTCTAAGTTTGTGTTTTATTTTTTTTCACTAGGCATGCGTATCCGTTTCACGTGAATTATAGGCCAATATAATTTTAATGTTATACTTGTTTTGAAAAATATAATTTTAAAATAGTTATTGGTGAAAACTACACGTTGAAATATATTAGTGACAAAGGGAATAAATAACTAAATAGATAAAAATACGACACATTTAAAGTAACATAGGCTGCCAATACCTATTAGAAAAATTAAAACCAAATTATATCAATTATTCAAACACAGCACCATATTAAATGCACAGACTGATTAAGAGACTTAAATGATTCCGTTAAAAATCGGTTGTTCAATGGTATATTTGTTGTTTTTAAAACTAGACTACCCAGGGTTCCATGACAAATGATCTTAGGACAAATGATCTCAGACAAATTATCTCAGACAAAATATCTCAGGACAAATGATCTCAGGACAAATGATCTCAGGACAAATGATCTCAAGGACAAATGATTTCACGGACAAAAGATACCAGGACAAAATATATCAGGACAAATGATATCATGGACAAATTATATCAGACTAAATATCTCAGACAAAATATCTCACAGCAAAATTTTAGTTGCATGTACGATGATTTTAATAGATTTGAACCTTTTTTTTCCAGTTTATTCTGATGCCTTTTTAAAACTTCTGAACCTTTTGAACGGCAACTTTTCTGACCATCGGGTAGTCAATGCTTTCAAGGCCATGGATGATCCTGATCTGGAGATACCTTCTACTGTTTACTTTTATAATATCCCAGTCGAGATTCCAGCCATGGCACCGGTAAGGATTTTATGTAACGTCAGTTTCATGTCAGTGTCATGTCAGTGTTATGTCAGTGTCATGCCAGTGTCATGTCAGTGTCGTGTCAGTGTCATGTCAGTGTCATGTCAATGTCATGTCAGTGTCATGTCAGTGTCATGTCAGTGTCATGTCAGTGTCATGTCAATGTCATGTCTGTGTCATGTCAGTGTCATGTCAGTGTCATGTCGGTGTCATGTCAGTGTCATGTCAGTGTCATATCAGTGTCATGTCAGTGTCTCGTCAGTGTCATGTCAGTGTCATGTCAGTGTCGTCAGTGTCATGTCAGTGTCATGTCAGTGTCTCGTCAGTGTCATGTCAGTGTCATGTCAGTGTCATGTCAGTGTCTCGTCAGTGTCATGTCAGTGTCATGTCAGTGTCTTGTCAGTGTCATGTTTGTGTCAAGTCAGTGTCATGTCAGCGTCATGTAAGTGTCTCGTCAGTGTCATGTCAGTGTCATGTAAGTGTCTCGTCAGTGTCATGTCAGTGTCATGTCAGTGTCATGTCAGTGTCTCGTCAGTGTCATGTCAGTGTCATGTCAGTGTCTTGTCAGTGTCATGTTTGTGTCAAGTCAGTGTCTTGTCAGTGTCATGTTTGTGTCAAGTCAGTGTCATGCCAGCGTCATGTAAGTGTCGTGTTAAAATATTCCAGTATCTTGTCATTGTCATATAAGTTTCATGTTTTGTTACTCAATGAATACATTTGTTTTTTTTTACTGTAAGTTTTTTAAAATATTAAATAATATAGTTAAGTACTTTATATTTCACTAAACGACTTTTGTCAAGCAGAGTATTAGAAGTATTGAATTTAAAAAGAGAAAAAAATAATATAATAGTATTTCAATGCTCAATTACATGACAGGCGGTGACATATTTTACCGAGGAGTACTTTGAACACCACCTACGTCGACGTCTGATCTTGGTAGTATGGGAAGACCAGAAAGGGGAGATCTACCTGCAGCCTTACAACATCACGTCTCCTCCCAATGATAGGTGCGTTCACTGACTGCGCGTATGCGTGTGTGCGTGTATCATCCGTACCCGCGTCTTGCTGCGGTCTCAGAAGAACGGCTGATGAATTATTTTATGGTATTTCATTAATGCTTTTTCTATCGTGTAGTTTTGGACGAATGACCTTGTATTCTACAACTGTGTTATTTAAACGTAAACAAAGCAGGATTTATGTATTTTAGATTACAGTTGTTATGGCGCAAGTTTGGCACACTGTAGTGTGGACAGGCGGCTTTATAACAAAACAGCGTCCTCTACTGTCATTATACAAAAGAACGTTAAAACTAGTTAATGGCTTGTCTAGTAGTTTGGATTCTTTTATTATAGCTTATATACTTCCGATACGTAAACAATAACATAAAGTAAAGCAAATTCGTAATATAAAATATTTCACGAAAAAGCCCCTTCTTACTTATCAGCCCCTTATCTTACTTATCGTCATCTTAACTTACCCATCCAGTATACAACTTTTTTTCCCAAAAACATAGCTTAGCCTACTCTGATTCTAATTTGTGGAAAAATCTCAATAATAAAATAAAACTATCTATATCTGAAAATATATTCAAATCTAGACTAAAACTACAATTATTTAATGACATCCTGAACTGACTCAATACAACATTTCTCATTCATCTATTATATTCTCATTTTATCTCATTTTGTATTATAACATAATATCATATTTTATTCCAAATCTTTGAATGCTATGTTTCTGCTATGTTTTTATTCCTCAATTGCTTTTAATTGCAATGCTCTTATTTTTTTTTTTTAAATGGCCAATGTACAACCGTGTCCCTATTTCAAAATGCTCTTTAAAACTAACTTAGGTGCTCATAGGAAGGCATGGACGCCAAATCACACTGTGCCTGGTGCTGGAGCACGCGCCTAATTAGATTTAGTTAAAGATTTTTAGTAGAACATCGTAACCATGGTGTATCGCTTGAAAACAAATGTAAAGACTCACTGGGGCCCGAGGCGCCAAATTGTATCCCACAAGGGGCGCGCTACCCCTGCGAAATTGTATACAAAAAAAACAACCTCGCCAAGAGTATTCTCAAAAATTTCTCATAGTATCGTGACGATCAGATGCAAGATGTAGTAATGCATACAGGATGGACAGACAGATAGACAGATAGACAGACGGACAAACAGACAGACAGACGAACGGACAGACAGACGGACGGACGGACAGACGGACGGACGGACAGAGAGACAAACTTTCATTTATATATATACATATATATATATATATATATATATCTATATATATATATATATATATATATATATATATATATATATATATATATATATATATATATATATATATATATATATATAATGACCATAATTCGTTATCTTTTTAAGAAAGATGCTTAAAGAATATATAATGATGTTTTTTCCATTTTAAACTACATATATATATATATATATATATATATATATATATATATATATATATATATATATATATATATATATATATATATATATATATATCCTTAGAAGGTTAATTAATATTATGATTAAAATAATTCGTTTAAAATTTTTTTATCACTTAGATCTAAACCGTTCTCAATTGACCAAGTCAAGAAGTTGACCGCAAGTGACTTGACAACAAGAGAGGAGTGTAAGGTCAAGTTTCAGCGTAAAGGAACACAAACCTTCACAGCCCTCTGGCCTGACTGTACCGTCAATGACAACGGGGTAAGGATTGTGCTTTAACTTAAGAAATCTATTTTGATGCAGATCATCTATAATAATATAGAAACTTTCGAGAAGTGATTAAAGGCATACATTCTGAAAAAAAATATTATTTAGACGTTACTCACTAAAAAGCCGATAAAAATAACATTGGTAAATATCATGATATAAAATTATATCGTTGTCCAGATTGTGCCCAATTTCCGACTGACCTACTCATGTAACTCCGTGGTGGGAACTGCTACAGATTCTGATCAAACCGAGTACTCTCCCATTCCAGTGGTTTTCACCAGAGAAGGGACGAGGTAAGATTTTTATTTTACTCAGAAGGATTTAAGGAAACTTACACGAGACATGTAAGCTATATATAAAAAGGGACATGGGTTAAATATGCAATTAATTAGGCCTATATAATTGTTACAGAAATTTAATTTACTGTTAGGTGAACTGAACTCTACATCACTTGCCCCATAGACCGTCAGACTTGAAAGGGAAACTTTACTATTAGGTCATTGTTACAAGCGAAAGAGAAAAAGGGAAAACATTTATTGGGACTCTGCATCAGAATATCAGTTTTATTTGAATTAGAACTAAACTTGTTTTTTTTTTTCTAACATGCGGTATGAGCAGTATTTAGATGTTATTGAACTTTTGGTTTGTTGGTATGAGATACTATTTTAGTGTAAGTAACCATTGGTAGGCCTATGCCAAATGTGTATTTCACGTTGGAAATAAAATCGAACTTAAATATACATAATGAATATATACGAATATAGAAATATTTAGAAATACATAATGAATATATAGAAATTGAATTTATAGGAATATAGTGCGAATAAGCTAACTTGTTCAATTTGTTTCCTATAGGTATCCTTTCCCATCATACCTGAATGAAGCCAATGACAAAGTGGCCTGTTAGACAAACGTTCACGCAGATAACTATAATAAAAGTTTTGACATTAACAAGTAAAATATTTTGAATTGAATTTTCGTTTTGTCAATAAAACGTTATGCAATTAGGCTTTTTTTTGTCTTTACATTGTAGTTTTGTTATTTTGGTTATAGAGTTGCTGTATTATTATTTATAAAAACATATCTTGGTAAATCTTATAAAAAGCATTTACCAGAATTACGACCGACCTATTCAAGTAACTGCTATAATACTTCAACAAACACAGTTCTTCAGTTAACTTGGAAACTTTCTTACACTAGAACAGCCTAGAATATTTGAATTGTCTCTAGCTCTGCTTACAGAGAACTAATTTTCAGGTACATTAACAACACACCACGTATTACAACAGTGAACGCTCAAGGGACGCAACATAATATACATAATACAAGGGACGTAACAATCCCTAAAAAATAATGTAACATCCTCCCTTTTTTACTTTTTTGTTTAGAAAGTATAGATAAAGTTTTGTAAAAACAAATCGATATTTTTGCAAATCTCAACGTTGTACCCCTTCCTGAGACGGAAAAAACATAGTTTTGAAATCTTGTCCGTATGTCTTTCTGTGTGTGTGTGTGTGTGTGTGTGTGTGTGTGTGTGTGTGTGAGAGAGAGAGAGAGAGAGAGAGAGAAAGAGTGAAAGAGAGAGAGAGAGAGAGAGAGAGAGAGAGATAGCTTGAGTACCGTTACAGCTAAGTTAATGAAGTTTCATGCATAAGTATTATATTTGTAGATCTGTATCAACTTTTCGGCGATTTCCGATAACCGGAAGTGGAACTTTTTCTTCTTGCAATTTTCAAAAACCTATAACTTGAGTACTATTTCAGATAGATAAATAAAGCTTTACATATAAGTAAAATTTTGAGTAATTTCCGTTGACCGGAGGTAGTAGTTTACGCTATTTCCGACTTCTCGAGAAACGCATGTGAAATTATTAAGTACTAATAATATTTCACACTATAATAAACATTTTGTTTGGCGTTCACGTGGTGCGCAATTCTTTTTTTCTACGCGATTCTATTCAGAAAAAGTTTAATAAGTAATTAAAAAAAACTTCATAAAAAATGTTTTAATAACAAGCTTGTATGTACTAATGCACTAAAATGTAGAAAATGTATGAGTTTCTTTAAATATATAGTAATTTAATACACTACTATTTATATAACTATAAAGAAAAGCGTGGTTCACTTTAGTATCTATTGGATACCTTTACTTATGTTTAGGAAGAGACCCACGCCTTTCTTTATAATTATATAAGTAGTAGTGTATTATATTACTATATATTTAAAGAAACTCATTTATTTTCTACTTTTTAGTGCATAAATACATAAAAGCTTGTTATTAAAACATTTTTTATGAATTTTTTGTCGTACGCAACTTTCGATCTATTGTTGCTAACCGGTTCATCATTCTGCATTTTCACAGAACTAAAACACTTTTGGCTAGCACCAAATTGTATTGTTTCTTGATTTGGACCACCAAATGCACGTACCAGGGCCTTGGTCATTATTTTCTGAATAGCAGCGAATGACCCATTATGTTTTTCAGACCACCGTAGTTTTGGTTCTCTGGTCCCTACGACAGGGATATTAACTTGCTTCCGCTTCAGTGCCTTATGGACTCTTCACAGCTCTCCTGCAATCACCTTTCGGCTCACCACGTCAATAGGTTTTATTGCATCTATGCAGTGGCGTAGCGAGGTCGGGTGTCACCCATTGCGGCACTTAATGGTGTCTCACCCAGAGGAGTAGCAACCCTTCCCGGGGAAAACTTTCAAATTTTCGATTTGCACCCCACCTCTAACTTTTGATTTGCACCCCCTCCCCTACAACTTTCGATTTGCACCCCCTCAAACTTTCGAATTGCACCCATCTCAAGTTTTTCTCTATATATTTTGCTATTTTTAGCTTTGGTGTCACCCCCCCCCCCCTAAATGGTGTCACCGGGTGCGGTCCGCACCCCCGCCCCCCCCCCCTTCTCGCTACGCCTCTGCATCTACGTACGAGCATGTACCAGCAGCCACCATAGGATTCACTTCCAGATTCAGTATGCCAGGTATACCACCCTGACCATTGTCACATGGGCAACTGCACCAGAATCTTTCTTTCTTAGCTTATCCATAGACTTATTCACAGTTTAATCCACAAAACGATCAGCAATCTTAAGTACACTTTCAAAATTATCATAATTTATTGTGATTAGTCTCATGTTCTCTGGTATTTTTAACACAGCAAGGCAATCATATCATTCTCAACAACGACAAATTCGACCAAAAATCTTTTCCCAGTACTAGGGTTCTTGACAACCACTCTTGCCTTTTTTTCTTAGGCTAAGCGTAGTTCCATAATACATTTTAGGTATAAATTAATCCGTAAGAAATTTTTTTTGTTACATTTTCTAAATGAGCGATAATTTAAAGTGATGTGTTGCCGCGAAGGTACATTTAATCTTTAGGGGCGTGAATTTTTTTTTTTTTTTTTTTAATGACTGTATAGTTTTATTGTAAATAATAGCTAAAAATCTTCATCACTACTGTCTTCATCATCTTCTTCTTCATCATCATCCAAATCATCTTTGAAAGCAGTTGCCCCAAGAACATCTTCAGGATTCTCTCCCTTCTCAATATGTCGATATAAAGTTCTTCTCTGCCTTTCCTTTAAGTGCTGAACTTCAAATTTTAATTGCTCTTCTTGGGCTTTCTTTTCTTCCTCACTCTGCCCCACCTGTATTATACTATCTTGTTTGGTATTACATTTAGCACAAACTTTAACTTGGGTTGCACAAGGCTGACACACTGTGTAATAAGCTCTCTTCACAGTTTTGTTGTGACATCTGACACATGTAGCAGGCTGGGATAATGGTTTGTATTTTTTGTACTTTATTTTCCATTGAATTATATCCTTACAGCGTAGACAAATGCCTTCAAAATTCAAGTTGTTGATGAGTTTTGTTTTATCAGATTTATCATGCATATCATTTTTGAAGGCTCTGTTATTCTGATATTTCTGTTTTCGTGTGCGAGAAACATTGCCACGTTGTGAGCTCATTTTCTTATTTTTTAGTTTAGAATTGTGACAACACCATCGTGAATTAATTGTTTCAAAACGTTCGACTGACGAAAATGTGTCAATGTGGCAAGCAAACCAGTTCATTTTATCTGTTGCTCGCTTTTTATTGCTTAAGGTTTCCATTATTCATTTTCGTCTCTTGCGTTTTTTTAAACTAAATTTATACATAATGGATTAATACATTTCAAAAGCTTTATTTTATAATATGCTCTTTTAAATTGTAATTGAAAAACAATTTTTTTTTCGAAAAATATTTATGACAAAAACAAAGATTTTAGCAAGATTTCACACAACTTTTAATTATTTTCTAGTGAGATAATTTGTTGATTTATTTATCCCTGATTTCCCTTTTATTTCAACACATTTTTTTTTTCGGTTAACTTCTATCTGAATAAACAATTAAAACAGGAAAGAATACGTAATAGTATAAACTATACTGATGAGTCTACATTAAAAATTAAATTGGCACAATAGGAAACTAACACACATTTATCGTACTATTACTTAAAATAAACCGGGAGTGATCTCCCCTAAACTTTCTCGAATATTCTTATATAAAATAACAGGGGATGGGAACTTCGGCTATAGACATGATTTTTAATCCATTTTAAATACTTAAAGTCTTAAAAAAATTCATAAAAAACGTTTTAATAACAAGCTTTTATGTGATGATGCACTAAAAAGTAGAAAATAAATTATAGACTACTATCTAAATAACTATAAAGAAAAGCGTGGGTCACTTTAGTATCTATTGGATACCTTTACTAATGTTAAGGAAGACACCCACGCTTTTCTTTATAGTTATTTAGATAGTAGTCTATAATTTATTTTCTACTTTTTAGTGCATCATCACATAAAAGCTTGTTATTAAAACGTTTTTTATGAATTTTTTTTTTCAGTACTTTACATGTTTTATTTACAATAGAGTTACATGACTAAAAACCATTGCGCGCCTACTGAACATCACGTTCAGTAGGCGCGCAATGGTTTTTGAACGCAGCCATTACGTGATGGCGCAGCTATTGAAGGTGATGACGCGTGTGGTGTGGTTGGCTAGACATGCCTACTAATTCGGTCCAAATTTTTATTAATTCATAAAAAATTAATTAGGCATCCAATTAAGTCAAATTTAGTTTCAGATTGCATTGTCTTCATGTCTTGACCCACGTGCCAACTGTGAATCGTATCGGTCAAGTAGAACTGTCCGAATTTTCACTCCTGCGTTTCCGTCAAGACAGACAGAGGAAGTGAGTTAAATAAAAGCTTGTAAAAATAGAATAAAATCTCGTAGACAAATTAATGCACACGAAGTGAACGCCAAATAAAAAGTGCATAATAGTGCGCAATATTATTAGTACTTTAAAAATTTACATTTGTTTTTTGAGAAATCGGAAGTAGCGTAAATTACTACTTCCGGTCAACGGAAATTACTCAAAATTTAACAGAAGGTAGAGAATTAGATCTTTTACATACATGCGAAATTTCATTTATCTATCTGAAATAGTACTCAAGTTATAGGCTTTTGAAAAATTCAATGTAGGAAAAGTACCACTTTCGGTTATCGGAAATCGCTCAAAAGTTGATACGCATCTACGATTTTGATAAAATACTTATATATGAAATTTCATCAACCTAGCGGTAACGGAACTCAAGTTATCGTGTTTACACACGGACACACAGACAGACAGACAGACACACAGACATACGGACAAGATTGCAAAATTATGTATTTCCGTATCAGTTAGGTGTAAAACGTCGAGATTTGTAAAAATTTCGATTTTTTTTTTGCACGATTACAAGACTTTCTCTATACTTCGTATATACGAGAAAGTAAAAACATGGCCTAAGTCATTTGGCAGAGAGTATAGATAGATGTACTACCTTTATTTACTCCCTATTTATTCCTTATTTACTCATTAGGGCAAGTTTCATTTAAGGGTTTTTGCTTAGACTTACGATTTATCATTTGCTTGATTTAAGTCTTGTTCTAGAGCTGACATATGCTAGAAATAAAGTTAAAAAAATCGTGTAAGGTTTAGTTTAAATTTTTTATTAAACTTCAATACAAACTATAGTAAATAATCTACTGTCATAATGTATAGCGATCTTCTGAAAACAAAGAACACACGAAGCGAAATGTGAATATTTGTCGCAGAATACGGCACCCAGAACATGACGATACATTCGTTAGTGACGAACACACAGGTGTACATCTCTGTCGTCATGGTTACCAGAGTTACAGTGCTGAATCTACATTTCTTCGAAGGCAGACATCTCACTATTTGTTGAAAAGTATAGGAATGAATGCCAATGCATTGGATTTTGCGTAGAAATAAATGTGGAGTACCTTGGTTATAAATAACACACGTCTTGTATACAGATGCAGAGGAAGTAATATCGATTTATTTACCAGTTTTACAGTGATCCTTTAGCCTACACAAAGCACTGTTAAATAATGATATACTGTAATGTTATATCTTGGACTTCATTAAAGCAAGGTTATTTTTCAGTATGCCCAGCTAATGTTCGACCATCAATGTTTTGTATTCACTTTATATTACAACGTAAAGTAAAGAAACATTTAAATAGATTAACTCTAACAATATTTGTGGCACAACACATATACGAGTAAGAAGATATTGAAAATCTGTAATCAAGTGTGGATTGTTTCTAAGTAAGGCTGGATGCTATTGTTGGTACTAGAAACCACTTGAATGTCTGTCTGTTAGTACTGTACTAAGTGGTGTAGTTTGTTTCAAGATTTTGATTAAATAATAAAAATTGACTTCACGATTTTTTACAGCCTCGTTTTGACAGTAAGTTGTTTTACTTACGGGAAGAATGAGGATTTAGATATTTCCGGAGGACCAGATGATTCACGTATTTGGGTTGCGTAATTTGTGGGGGCACTCGACTCATCTTATCGTGGGATAAAGATGTTCCACTATACTTTACATCATTAAGAAAACATTCATCTACTCTCAAAGACATTTGGAAACCTACTTGATTCATTTTAAGCCTGTAGGAAGCCAGGATTTAATTTCATGTAGCATTAGCTCATGATTTTCTTAATATTTTAAGAGGCTCTTATTTTAAAACTGGAAACAAGATTGATAAAATAAAGAATAAACAAGAAGTGGGATCTAAATTGAAGCAAGTGTGCTTAACTTATCTACAGTGGATAAGGTTTCATTATTATTGAAAGAAACTCATAGTGGTTTTTTTATACGATAGTTTTAAGTGCTTGAATGGATCTGTCTATCGCTGATATTGTTTTAAATCTTGAAGGTTTACTGTAACATAAAGACTGGAATTCCTTTGTTTCTTTGACAAAGGTTGGGGTAGTGTGGTTAGTCTTGCCGCATTTTAGTTTCACTATCCTGGATGTTTGATACCAATCAAAGCAGGGTAGATTAATTCTATAAGTTTAATCAGGTACCAACTAAAACTAATTAGATTCATGTTTTACCAGGTACAAAAGAAGTTTATGATCAATCTGTAGACTACATTGCTATTTCCATTTACGACTACGCTAAAAATGGCGAACCTGTCGTTAGAACTATCCACATCCAGTAATCACTACATAACAATAACTAACTCGCCCGGTGCTGTGAACATTAAGACCTGGTATCCTGTCGACCCGAAAGTGCAAGAAATCTTAAGCATCGTCTTCAATTGCGTCGTGGTCAGTGTTTCTTCCAGACTTTTTTCTCCGGGGGGGGGCATTTGAAATCTTCGGGGGGGCGGTAAACTTTCTTCGGGGGGGCGGACACTGTTAAAAGTATATATTTTCTATATAAATTATATAAATTTCATTTCGTTCGGGGGGGCGGTAAAAAATTTTCGGGGGGGCTTCGCCCCCCCGAAGAGATGCCTGGAAGAAACTCTGGTCGTGGTTCAGACTTTCTGCGTGTCCGGCATTGTCGGCAACGTCATCAGCATCATCGTATTCTGTCGGATGGGATTCAGTGACGTCACAAACATCATACTCGCCTCGCTCTCGGCATCTGACGTCATGTTCTGTGTTTGTCAGTCCTACTACCGACTGCCTGAAATTGTAAAGTATTATAGCGTTCCCCTTGCCAGAACAATGAATACTTATCATTTTGTTTATATAACTTATTTCCACGAAGTTTCTATCATGACCAGTATGCTCCATGTGACCATGATTTCTATTGAACGTTGTATTGCTGTATGGATTCCGTTCCGTGTTTCTATTATCTGTACACGGTTTAAAGTTATTTTCTCTATTGTAGTCATATATCTTTATATTTTCGCTATTAATTTGCCCGCTGCGTTTTTATACAGACTTGAATGGCAAAAAAACCGAACAGTTGCAGTGCTTTATTATTTACTTTGCAGTAAATAACTTTGACGTAATAGCTAGCTATTTTACAAATGCTGTAAACAACATAGGATTAGTCGCACCCGTTCTTCTGGTTATTATTTTATCATGCCTGACGACTGTTAAATTAATCGCATCGCAGAAAACACGTAAGTTGCTTTCTACCACCAAACTCGCCTCAACGGCAACACGCGATCTGAAAGCTTTTAAAATGTTGATGTCGATTTGTTTTGTTTCTGTATTGCTCTACATTCCTTTATCGATCGCTGAGATTTATTTATACACATCCGAAGTCAGCCCGTACCTTACAGAAAGTTTTAGAGACTCAGTCATTGCAGTGAAGAATGCAGTGCTAACCTTAGGGCCTACGGCTAATTGGATCATCTACGCTTCCCTTGGCCAAAAGTTTGCCATGACTTATAAAAAACTGTTTAGCTGCAATCATAACAAAAAATAGCTGAGTATGAAACTATAAACAAAGTAAATGAATAATACGTCTATAAAAATCTTTACCGTTTAAATACATTTTAAATTCATATTGATTTTTATATATAGAAAAAGAACACGTGTTTAATGGTTTACTGCTTGTTTGAGTTTTTTTTTTATATACTTATTTTGTTTTCCTCATAATCATTTTGCAATGTAAAATTACAACAGCAAGTTTATACTT